GTCGATTTTGGGTGGTTTGGGTTCATTTTGGGGGATTTTGGTCAATTTTGGGTGGTTTGGGCTCATTTTGGGGGATTTTGGTCAATTTTGGGTGGTTTGGGCTCGTTTTGGGGGATTTTGGTCGATTTTGGGTGGTATGGGCTCATTTTGGGGGATTTTGGTCAATTTTGGGTGGTTTGGGCTCATTTTGGGGGATTTTGGTCGATTTTGGGTGGTATGGGCTCATTTTGGGGGATTTTGGTCAATTTTGGGTGGTTTGGGCTCATTTTGGGGGATTTTGGTCGATTTTGGGTGGTATGGGCTCATTTTGGGGGATTTTGGTCAATTTTGGGTGGTTTGGGCTCATTTTGGGGGATTTTGGTCGATTTTGGGTGGTTTGGGCTCATTTTGGGGGATTTTGGTCAATTTTGGGTGGTTTGGGCTCATTTTGGGGAATTTTGGTCGATTTTGGGTGGTTTGGGCTCATTTTGGGGGATTTTGGTCAATTTTGGGTGGTTTGGGCTCATTTTGGGTCATTTTGGTCAATTTCGGGGTGGTTTGGGCTCATTTTGGGGAATTTTGGTCCATTTTGGGACATTTTGGGTCATTTTCGTCAATTTTTGGGGTGGCTTGGGCTCATTTTGGGGGTTTTGGTCAATTTTGGGGAATTTGGGTCATTTTGGGGTATTTTGGGGTGTTTTGGGCTCATTTTGGTGGATTTTGGTCCATTTTGGGTCATTTTGGTCGATTTTGGGTGGTTTGGGTTCATTTTGGGGGATTTTGGTCAATTTTGGGTGGTTTGGGCTCATTTTGGGGGATTTTGGTCGATTTTGGGTGGTTTGGGCTCATTTTGGGGGATTTTGGTCGATTTTGGGTGGTTTGGGCTCATTTTGGGGATTTTGGTCAATTTTGGGTGGTTTGGGCTCATTTTGGGGAATTTTGGTCGATTTTGGGTGGTTTGGGCTCATTTTGGGGGATTTTGGTCAATTTTGGGTGGTTTGGGCTCATTTTGGGTCATTTTGGTCAATTTCGGGGTGGTTTGGGCTCATTTGGGGGATTTTGGTCCATTTTGGGACATTTTGGGTCATTTTCGTCAATTTTTGGGGTGGCTTGGGCTCATTTTGGGGGTTTTGGTCAATTTTGGGGAATTTGGGTCATTTTGGGGTATTTTGGGGTGTTTTGGGCTCATTTTGGTGGATTTTGGTCCATTTTGGGTCATTTTGGTCGATTTTGGGGTGGTTTGGGCTCATTTGGGGGATTTTGGTCAATTTTGGGGCATTTTGGGTCATTTTCGTCAATTTTGGGTGTGGTTTGGGCTCATTTTGGGTCATTTTGGTCAATTTTGGGGCATTTTAGTCAATTTTGGGGTGGCTTGGGCTCATTTTGGGGGTTTTGGTCAATTCTGGGGCTTTTTGAGTCATTTTGGTCGATTTTGGGGCGGTTTGGGCTCGTTTGGGGGGATTTTGGTCAATTTTGGGGACATTTTGGTCAATTTTGGTCAATTTTGGGGCCGTTTGGGCTCATTTTTGGTGTTTTGGTCAATTTTGGGTCATTTTGGGTCATTTTGGCCCATTTAATGGCATTTTTAACCATTTTGGGTCATTTTGGGCTCCTTTGGCCCCATTTATCGCCATTTTTGACCCATTCAGAGGGATTTTGGGCTCATTTCACGCGATTTTGGTCCATTTTGGGTCATTTTGGCTTCATTTGACCCCTTTTAATGTCATTTTGAGCCATTTTGGGTCATTTTGGGCTCATTTTGCTCCATTTAACGCTATGGGGCTGGGGGGCCTTGGCCCCATTGCTATGGGGCTGGGGGGGGGGGGGCTGGCCCCACACTTGTGGGTCCCTGGGGTTCTATAGGGTTCTATGGGGTTCTATGGGGATCTATGGGGTTCTATGGGGCAATGGGTTAGGGGTCTATGGGGTTGTGTAGGGTTCTATGGGGCAGGGGGATAGGGTTCTATGGGGTTCTATGGGGTTCTATGGGGCAATGGGTTAGGGTTCTATGGGGCAATGGGATAAGGTTCTATGGGGTTCTATGGGGCAGTGGGATAGGGTTCTATGGGGTTCTATGGGGCAATGGGTTAGGGTTCTATGGGGTTCTATGGGGCAGGGGGATAGGGTTCTATGGGGTTCTATGGGGCAGTGGGATAGGGTTCTATGGGGTTCTATGGGGCAGGGGGATAGGGTTCTATGGGGTTCTATGGGGCAGTGGGATAGGGTTCTATGGGGTTCTATGGGGCAGGGGGATAGGGTTCGATGGGGTTCTATGGGGCAGTGGGATAGGGTTCTATGGGGTTCTATGGGGTTCTATGGGGTTCTATGGGTACCGCTCTGTCCCCCACGTGTGGGTCACTCACAGGCTCGTTGATGCGGGGTGCTATGGGGCAGAAGGACCCATATATGGGTGCTATGGGGTGCAGTGACCCCATATGTGGGCACTATGGGGTGCAGTGACCCCATATATGGGTGCTATGTTGCAGAAGGACCCATGTATGGACGCTATGTTGTTCAATGACCCCCATATATGGTCACTAAGGGGTGTAGTGACCCCCATATATGGGTGCTATGGGGCAGGGGGACCCATATATGGGCGCTATGGGGTGCATGGACCCCATATATGGGTGCTATGGGGTGCAGTGACCCCATATATGGGTGCTATGGGGCGCAGTGACCCCCATATATGGGTGCTATGGGGCGCAGTGACCCCCATATGTGGGCGCTATGGGGCGCAGTGACCCCCATATATTTTGGTTTATTTGGGGGCATTTTGGGTTATTTTGGTCAATTTTGGGGTGGTTTGGGCTCATTTTGGGGGATTTTGGTCAATTTTGGGGCATTTTGAGTCATTTTGTTCAATTTTGGGTGGTTTGGGCTCATTTTGGGTCATTTTGGTCGATTTCGGGGTGGTTTGGGTTCATTTTGGGTCATTTTGGTCCATTTTGGGGCATTTTGAGTCATTTTGTTCAATTTTGGGTGGTTTGGGCTCATTTTGGGGGGATTTTGGTCCATTTTGGGGCATTTTGAGTCATTTTGGTCAATTTTGGGTGGTTTGGGCTCATTTTGGGTTATTTTGGTCAATTTTGGGGTGGTTTGGGCTCATTTTGGGGTATTTTGGTCAATTTTGGGGTGGTTTGGGCTCATTTTGGGGTATTTTGGTCAATTTTGGGGCATTTTGAGTCATTTTGTTCAATTTTGGGTGGTTTGGGCTCATTTTGGGTCATTTTGGTCCATTTTGGGGCATTTTGAGTCATTTTGTTCAATTTTGGGTGGTCTGGGCTCATTTTGGGTCATTTTGGTCCATTTTGGGGCATTTTGAGTCATTTTGGTCAATTTCGTGGCGGTTTGGGCTCATTTTGGGTCATTTTGGTCAATTTTGGGTGATTTGGGCTCATTTTGAGTCATTTTTGTCAATTTTGGGTGGTTTGGGATCAAATGGGGGAATTTTGGTCAATTTTGGGGGATTTTGGTCAGTTTTGGTCAATTTTGGGGTGGTTTGGGCTTATTTTGCATCATTTTTGTCAATTTTGGGGGGTTTGGTCTCATTTTTGGTCATTTTGGTCTATTTTGGGGCTGTTTCGGCTCATTTTGGTGCACTTTGGGGTGGTTTGGGCTCATTTTGGGATATTTTGGTTAATTTGGGGGCATTTGGGGTCATTTTGGTCAATTTTGGGGCACTTTGGGATCATTTTGAAGGATTTTGGTCAATTTTGGGGGATTTTGTTCAATTTTGGTCAATTTTGGGGCATTTTGAGTCATTTTGGTCAATTTTGCGGTGGTTTGGGCTCCTTTTGGGTCATTTTGGTCAATTTTGGGTGGTTTGGGCACATTTGGGGACATTTTGGTCAATTTTGGGGCATTTTGAGTCATTTTCATCAATTTTGGGGTGGTTTGGGCTCATTTTGGGTCATTTTCATCAATTTTGGTTGGTTTGGGCTCATTTTGGGAGACTTTGGTCAATTTTGGGTGGTTTGGGCTCATTTTGGGTCATTTTCATCAATTTTGGTTGGTTTGGGCTCATTTTGGGTCATTTTGGTCAATTTTGGGGTGGTTTGGGCTCATTTTGGGTCATTTTCATCAATTTTGGGTGGTTTGGGCTCATTTTGGGTCATTTTCATCAATTTTGGGTGGTTTGGGCTCATTTTGGGTCATTTTCATCAATTTTGGGTGGTTTGGGCTCATTTTGGGTCATTTTGGTCAATTTTGGGGTGGTTTGGGCTCATTTTGGGTCATTTTGGTCAATTTTGGGGTGGTTTGGGCTCATTTTGGGTCATTTTGGTCAATTTTGGGGCATTTTGAGTCATTTTGGTTAATTTTGTGGTGTTTTGGGCTCATTTTGGGTCATTTTCATCAATTTTGGGGTGGTTTGGGCTCATTTTGGGGGATTTTGGTCAATTTTGGGTGGTTTGGGCAGGGTACGGAGCCGCCGCGGTGCATTGTGGTCGCCGCCATCTTGTTCCGTACAGCCCGCAATGCATCATGGTCTCCGCCATCTTGTTCCGTACAGCCCGCAATGCATCATGGTCTCCGCCATCTTGCTGCCGTACAGCCCGCAATGCATTGTGGTCTCCGCCATCTTGCTTCCGTAACCTCTCCCTTTGCGCTCTGGTCGCCGCCATCTTGCTTCCGTACAGCCCGCAATGCATCATGGTTTCCGCCATCTTGTTCCGTACACCAGCCCCCCGCGCAATGCATTATGGTCGCCGCCATCTTGTGTCCGTACAGCGCCACGTAGTTCACCGCGGTCGCCGCCATCTTGCTGCCGTACAGCCCGCAATGCATTGTGGTCTCCGCCATCTTGCTTCCGTAACCTCTCCCTTTGCACTCTGGTCGCCGCCATCTTTCTTCCGTACAGCCCGCAATGCATCATGGTCTCCGCCATCTTGCTTCCGTACAGCCCGCAATGCATCATGGTCGCCGCCATCTTGGTTCCGTACAGCCCGCAACGCTTCGTGGTCTCCGCCCTCTTGTGCCCCCGCCCCCTGTGCACGTGACCCGCCGCGGTGCACCCTGGTCCCATGGCGCGGCTCCGCGCCGTGTACGCGCTGCGCGCGAGGGGCGGGGCCTCGTACGTGGGGTTCTCGGTGGCGCCTGCGCGGCGCCTACGTCAGCACAACGGGGGGAGGAGCAGGGGCGGGGCCAGGAAGACGGCGAGGGCGGGGCCGTGGTGAGCGAGGGGGAGGGGCCTAAAGGGGGGCGGAGGGTTGAAGGGGGGCGGGGCTTAAGGGGAGGGCGTGGGGTTTGGGGGGGCGGGGCTTAAGGGGGTGGAGGGGGGTTGAAGGGGCGGGGCTTAAGGGGAGGGGGAAGAGGGGCGGGGCTTAAAGGGGGCGGGGTTTAAGGGGGCGGGGTGGGGATTTAAGGGGGCGGGGCTTGAAGGGGCGGGGCTTGGGAGGGGTGGGGATTGAAGGGGGCGGTGCTTATGATAAGGGGGTGGGGATTAAAGGGGCGGGGCTTAAGGGGGGTGGGGGATTGAAGGGGCGGGACTTGGGAGGGATGGGAATTGAAGGGGGCGGGGTTTAAGGGGAAGGGGTGGGGATTGAAGGGGCGGGGCTTAAGGGGGGTAAGAGGGGGCGGGGCTTAAAGGGATGGGATGGGGATTGAAGGGGCGGGGCTTGGGAGGGGTGGGGCTTAAGGGGGTGGGGATTGAAGGGGGCGGGGCTTAAGGAGAGGGGTGGGGATTGAAGGGGTGGGGTTTTAAAGGGGGAGGGGCTTAAAGGGGGATACGGCCTGGAAGAGGGCGGAGCTTGAAGGGGGCGGGGGTTAAGGGGGTGGGGGTTAAAGGGGGCGGGGCTTAAAGGAGCTGGGGCGGGGCTTAAAGGGGGCGGGGCTTAAAGGGGGACACGGCTGGAAGGGGGCGGGGATAAAGGGGGTGTGGGATGAAGGGGGTGGAGCTTATAGGAGGGTGGGTGGGACTTAAAGGGGGCGGGGCTTGGAGGGGCGTGGCCGGATGTGAGCGGTGACGTCACAGGGAGATGGAGCTCTTCGTGTACGGCTTCCCCTCGGACGTGGCGGCGCTGAGGGTGAGCCCCGCCCCCTCACGTGACCCCGCCCCCTTTAAGCCACGCCCCCCCTAGAACCCATTCACCCCCATAGACTCCCATTGAGCCCCATAGCCCCCATTCCAGGCCCATAGGACCCCATTCACCCCATAGACCCCATTGAGCCCCATAGACCCCATTGAGCCCCATGGCCCCCATTGAGCCCCATAGCCCCCATTCCAGCCCCATAGGACCCCATTCACCCCATAGACCCCATTGAGCCCCATAGACCCCATTGAGCCCCATAGCCCCCATTCACCCCCATATCCTCCATTGAGCCCCATAGCCCCCATTGAGCCCCATAGCCCCCATTGAGCCCCATAGCCCCCATTCCAGCCCCATAGGACCCCATTCACCCCATAGACCCCAATGAGCCCCATAGACCCCATTGAGCCCCATATCCTCCATTGAGCCCCATAGCCCCCATTGAGCCCCATAGACCCCTTTTCACCCCCATAGGCCCCATTGAGCCCCATAGCCCCATTGATCCCCATAGACCCCATTGAGCCCCATAGACCCCTTTTCACCCCCATAGGCCCCATTGAGCCCCATAGCCCCCATTCACACCCATAGACCCATTCGTGCCCCATAGATTCCCCTTAAGCCCCATAGACCCCATTCACCCCCATAGCCCCCATTCCAGCCCCATAGGACCCCATTCACCCCATAGACCCCATTGAGCCCCATAGACCCCATTCACCCCCATAGACCCCATTCATGCCCCATAGATTCCCCTCCAGCCCCATAGACCCCATTCACCCCATAGACCCCATTGAGCCCCATAGATTCCCCTCCAGCCCCATAGACCCCATTCCAGCCCCATAGGACCCCATTCACCCCATAGACCCCATTGAGCCCCATAGCCCCCATTGAGCCCCATAGCCCCCATTCCAGCCCCATAGGACCCCATTCACCCCATAGACCCCATTGAGCCCCATAGACCCCATTCACCCCCATAGACCCCGTTCATGCACCATAGATTCCCCTCCAGCCCTATTCACCCCATAGACCCCATTCATGCCCCATAGATTCCCCATTCACCCCCATAGCCCCCATTGATCCCCATAGACCCCATTGATCCCCATAGCCCCCATTCACCCCATAGACCCCATTGATCCCCATAGCCCCCATTGAGCCCCATAGACCCCATTCACCCCATAGACCCCATTCGTGCCCCATAGATTCCCCATTCACCCCATAGACACCATTGATCCCCATAGCCCCCATTGAGCCCCATAGACCCCATTGATCCCCATAGCCCCCATTGATCCCCATAGCCCCCATTGAGCCCCATAGACCCCATTCACACCCATAGACCCCATTCGTGCCCCATAGAGTCCCCATTCACCCCATAGCCCCCATTGAGCCCCATAGACTCCCATAGACCTCCATAGCCCCCCATTCACCCCCATAGCCCCTCCCCCCCGTGACCCCGCCCCCCCTTCCTTTATGACGCAGTTCGAGTGGGCGTGGCAACACCCCTCCCTCTCGCGCCGCCTCCCCGCCGTGACCCCGCGGCGACCCCGGGAGCAGCCAATCAGCTTCGCCCTGCGGGTGCTGCCCCTCCTCCTGCGGGCCCCGCCTTGGTCCCGCCTCCCCCTGCGCCTGCGCTGGCTCCGCCCCCCTCCGCAAGGCCCCGCCCCCCGCTGCGCCCGGCCCCGCCCCCTCACGTGGTGCAGGAGGAAGGGGCCCTGCCCCCGAGCCCTAGGAAGGGGAGGGGCAGGAGGAGGCCACGCCCCCGAGGCGCCGAGGCCACGCCCACGGAGGAGGAGGCCACGCCCACCCCTGAGTGTGCCCTGTGTGGGGAGGAGTGTGGGGTGAGGAGGCGGGGCTTAAAGGGGGGCGGGGTTAAAGGGGGAGGGGTTTAAAGGGGGTGGGGGTTGGAGGGGGCGGGGTTTAAATGGGGTGGGGGTTGGAGGGGCGGGGTTAAAGGGGTGGGTTTAAAGGGGGCGGGGTTTAAAGGGGGTTAAGGGGGCTATGGAAGGGGTTAAAGGGGGCGGAGCTTAAGGGGGCGTGGTTAAAGGGGGGCTATGGAAGGGGTTAAAGGGAGTGGGGGTTGGAGGGGCGGGGTTAAAGGGGTGGGGTTTAAAGGGGCGGGGCTTAAATAGGGCGGGGTTTAAAGGGGGCAGGGCTAAAGGGGGCGGGGGTTTAAAGGGGGCGGGGTTAAAGGGGGCTATGGAAGGGGTTAAAGGGGGCGGGGGGGTGAGGAGGCGGGGCTTAAAGGGGGCGGGGTTAAAGGGGGCGGGGGTTGGAGGGGCGGGGTTTAAAGGGGGTTAAGGGGGCTATGGAAGGGGTTAAAGGGGGCGGAGCTTAAGGGGGCGTGGTTAAAGGGGGGCTATGGAAGGGGTTAAAGGGGGCGGGGTTTAAAGGGGGTGGGGGTTGGAGGGGCGGGGTTAAAGGGGTGTGTTTTAAAGGGGCGGGGCTTAAATAGGGCGGGGTTTAAAGGGGGCAGGGCTAAAGGGGGCGGGTTAAAGGGGGCGGGGTTAAAGGGGGGCGGGGTTAAAGGGGGCTATTGAAGGGGTTAAAGGGGGCGGGGGTGAGGAGGCGGGGCTTAAAGGGGGCGGGGTTAAAGGGGGCGGGGGTTGGAGGGGTGGGGTTTAAAGGGGGCGGGTTTAAAGGGGGTTAAGGGGGCTATGGAAGGGGTTAAAAAAGGCGGAGCTTAAGGGGGCGTGGTTAAAGGGGGGCTATGGAAGGGGTTAAAGGGGGTGGGGGTTGGAGGGGGCGGGGTTAAATGGGGTGGGGTTTAAAGGGGCGGGGCTTAAATAGGGCGGGGTTTAAAGGGGGCAGGCTAAAGGGGGCGGGGTTTAAAGGGGGCGGGGTTAAAGGGGGCTTTTGAAGGGGTTAAAGGGAGCGGGGTTTGAAAGGGGGCGGGGTTTAAAGGGGGTGGGGTTAAATGGGAGCTATGGAAGGGGTTGAAGGGGGCGGGGTTTGAAGGGGCGGGGTTAAAGGGGCGGGGCTTAAAGGGGCTATGGGAAGGGATTAAAGGGGGTGGGGTTTAAAGGGGGCGGGGTTAAATGGGGTGGGGGTGAAAGGGAATGGGGCTATAAGGGGTGGGCGTTTAAGGGGCGGGGCTTAAAGGGGGCGGGGTTAAAGGGGCGTATGGAAGGGGTTAAAGGGGGCGGTAGGTGTAGGGGCGGGGTTTGAAGGGGGCGGGGTTTAAAGGGGGCGGGGATTAAAGGGGGCGGAGCCTAAAGGGGCGGGGGGTTAAAGGGGGCGGGGTTAAAGGGGGCTATGGAAGGGGCTAAAGGGGCGGGGCTTAAAGAGGGCGCTATGGAAGGGGGGCGGGGCTTAAAGAGGGCGCTATGGAAGGGGGAGGCGTAAAAGTGGGTGGGGCTTGAAGGGGGGTTGGTTAAAGGGGCGGGGCTTAAAGAAGAAGCCATGGGAGGGGGTGGGTTTTAAAGGGGGCGGGGCTTAAAGGGGGCGGGGGCTTAAAGGGGTTCAGGGGGAGGGGCTTAAATGAAATCTGGGTCTGAGGAGGGGTTTAAAGGGGCGGGGCTGAACCCATGGGGCTCAATGAGGGGGGGCGTGGCCTCCCTAAGCCCCGCCCCTTCCCCCCCCCTCACCTGCAGCCGGCCCCGCCCCCCCTGCGCTGTCCCCGCCCCCCCTGCCCCATGGCCGCCCATCCCCCCTGCCTGGCGCGGTGCTTCCTGCGCCTCGAGCCCCGCGAGCTGCTGCCGGTGGGCGGGGCCTGCCCCAGGTGGGCGGGGCTTGGGGACGAGGGGAGGGGGCTGTTGCTATGGGGGTTGCTAAGGGGCGGGGCTTGATACTAAGGGGAGGGGCTTGTTGATAAGGGGGTTGCTAAGGGGCGGGGCTTGATGCTAAGGGGAGGGGCTTGCTTCTAAGGGGCGGGGCTTATTGCTAAGGGGCGGGGCTTGATGCTAAGGGGAGGGGCTTGCTTCTAAGGGGCGGGGCTTATTGCTAAGGGGCGGGGCTTGCTTCTAATGGGCGGGGGTTGTTGCTAAGGGGCGGGGCTTGATTTTAAGGGGAGGAGCTTGTTGCTAAGGGGCGGGGTTTCATGCTAAGGGGAGTGGCTTGTTGCTAAGGGGGTTGCTAAGGGGCGGGGCTTGATGCTAAGGGGAGTGGCTTGTTGCTAAGGGGAGTGGCTTGTTGCTAAGGGAAGAGGCTTGTTTCTAAGGGGGCTGCTTAGGGGCGGAGCTTGTTGCTAATGGGCGGGGCTTGTTGCTAAGGGGCGGGGCTTGATTCTAAGGGGCGGGGCTTGTTGCTAAGGGGCGGGGTTTGATGTTAGGGGGCGGGGCTTGATACTAAGGGGAGGGGCTTGCTGATAAGGGGCGGGGCTTGATGCTAAGGGGGAGGGGCTTGTTGCTAAGGGGCGGGGCTTGATTCTAAGGGGCTTGATGCTAAGGGGAGGGGCTTGATGCTAAGGGGCGGGGCTTGATACTAAGGGGAGGGGCTTGTTGATAAGGGGGGTTGCTAAGGGGCGGGGCTTGATGCTAAGGGGAGGGGCTTGCTTCTAAGGGGCGGAGCTTGTTGCTAATGGGGCGGGGCTTGTTGCTAAGTGGAGGGGCTTGTTGCTAAGGGGCGGGGCTTATTGCTAAGGGGCGGGGCTTATTGCTAAGGGGCGGGGCTTGTTGCTAAGCGGGTTGCTAAGGGGCGGGGCTTATTGCTAAGGGGCTGGGCTTGTTGCTAAGCGGGTTGCTATGGGGCGGGGCTTATTGTTAAGGGGCGGGGTTTGCTTCTAAGGGGCGGGGCTTGTTGCTAAGCGGGGTTGCTAAGGGGCGGGGCTTATTGCTAAGGGGCTGGGCTTGATTCTAAGGGGAGGGGCTTGTTGCTAAGGGGCGGGGTTTGATGCTAAGGGGAGTGGCTTGTTGCTAAGGGGGTTGCTAAGGGGTGGGGCTTGATACTAAGGGGAGGGGCTTGATGCTAAGGGGAGGGGCTTGTTGATAAGGGCGGGGCTTGATGCGAAGGGGAGAGGCTTGCTGCTAAGGGAAGAGGCTTGTTTCTAAGGGAGCTGCTAAGGGGCGGAGCTTGTTGCTAATGAGCGGGGCTTGATGCTAAGGGGCGGGGCTTGATTCTAAGGGGCGGGGCTTGATGCTAAGGGGCGGGGCTTGTTGCTAAGGGGCGGGGACTGTTGCTAAGGGGCGGGGCTTGATGCTAAGGGGTGTGGCTTGTTGCTAAGGGGGTTGCTAAGGGGCGGGGCTTGATGCTAAGGGGAGGGGCTTGCTGCTAAGAGGAGGGGCTTGATGCTAAGGGGCTGGGCTGGATGCTAAGTGTGTTGCTAAGAGGCGGGTCTTGTTGCTAAGTGGGTTGCTATGGGAGGGGCTTGTTGCTATGGGACGGGGCATGTCCATAAGGGTGGTAGGTAAGGGGCGGGGCTTGATGCTAAGTGGGTTGCTAAGGGGCGGGGCTTGGTGCTACGGGGAGGGGCTTGATGCTAATGGGCGGGGCTTGGTGCTAAGGGGAGGGGCTTGTTGCTAAGGGGCGGGGATTGTTGCTAAGGGGAGGGGCTTGATGCTGAGGGGAGCCGAGCCCCATTGGAGGAAGGGGGGCGTGGCCTTACTTTAGCCCCGCCCCCCCCCCCCCCAGCTGTGACTCCTACCTCCTATGGGGCGACCTCATTCGCTACAGCCTCGGTGAAGGTGACGTCATCGAGGGGGCGGAGCCCCAGGTAAGACCCGCCCCCCTTTGCCCCACCCCCTTTTTTTAAGCTCCGCCCCCTTTGACCTCTTCTCCCCCCCCAACAGGGTCCAGCGATGATGACGCAAGAGGCGGGCCTCCACTTGGCTCCGCCCCCCTTCCCTTTTAAGGTCAATAAAGGTTTATATGACATCATTGATGACGTCAGCGGCCTTTTCACCCCATTTCCCCCTCGTTTTGGGGTCTCCCAAAGGGGGTTGGGGGTCCCTGGGGCTCTTTGAGGTGGATTTGGGGCTAAAAGGCTCAGTTTGGGGTCGGACGGGTCCCTGCCCCCTTTTTCCCCATTTTCTCCCCATTTTTTCCCATTTTCCCCCATTTTTTGACCCTTTTCCCCTGATTTTGACCATTTTTCCTTTATTTTTCACTCATTTTTCACCGTTTTCCAGCCGTTTCTCCCCATTTTTCTCCCCATCCCAGCAGCCACATTTTGCCCATTTTCCCCCTTTTTGTACCCATTTTCTCCTTTTTTTTCCCCACTTTATCCCATATTTGTCATTTTTTCACCCATTTTCCCTGTTTTCCCCTTTTTTTTCCTGATTTTCCTCATTTTTACCCATTTCCATGCTAATTTTGCCCATTTTTCCCCATTTTCTCCCGGTTTTTAACCATCTTTGCCCATTTCCACCCTTTTTTAACCCATTTTTTCCCCTTCCTCCTATTTCTCCCCATTTTTGCCCATTTTCCCCCATTTTTTGACCCTTTTCCCATGATTTTGACCATTTTCCTTTATTTTTCACTCATTTTTCACCGTTTTCCAGCCGTTTCTCCCCATTTTTCTCCCCCATCCCAGCAGCCACATTTTGCCCATTTTCCCCCTTTTTGTACCCATTTTCTCCTCTTTTTCCCCCACTTCATCCCATTTTTCCAGATTTTTGTCATTTTTTCCCCATTTTTTCCCCATTTTCCCATTTTCTCCCCATTTTTTCCTGTTTCTTCCCCATTTTCCCTGATTTTTCCATTTTCAACCCCATCTTTCCCTTTTCCTGATTTCCCCCATTTTTACCCCTTTCCTCCCCATTTCCATGCTATTTTTGCCCATTTTCCCCATTTTTAACCATTTTTGCCCATTTCCACCCCTTTTTAACCCGTTTTTTCCCCTTCATCCTAATTTCTCCCCATTTTTGCCCCATTTTCTTTCGTTTTGGGCCATTTTTTCCCCATTCCCCCCCATTTTCCGCAGGACACCCCATAATGTTTTCCCATTTTTTCCCGTTTTTTCCCCATTTTACCCAATTCCACCCCATTTTCCCCCATTTCCCCACCCATTTTTGCCCATTTTCACCCTTTTTTGCCCCATTTCAGGTCCCTTCTTCCTCCTCTCCCTGCAGACCACCACGTACCCTTCTTTTCCCTATTTTCCCCATTTTTCCCCATTTTTTCACTGTCTCTCACAATTTTCCCCCATTTTCCCCATTTCCACCCCGTTTTCCCCCATTTTCCCACCCATTTTTACCCATTTTCACCCTTTTTTGCCCCATTTTGGGTCACTTCTTCCTGCTCTCCCTGCAGCCCACACGTACCCTTCTTTTTCCCTTTTTTCCCATTTCTCCCATTTTTTCACCGTTTTTCCTCACTTTTCACCTTTTTTCACCATTTTTTTCCCCATTTTCCCACATTTTTTCCCTATTTCCCCCATTTCCCCACCTGTTTTTGCCCATTTTCGCCCCATTTCAGGTCCCTTCTTCCTGCTCTCCCTGCAGGCCACCACGTACCCTTTTTTTCCCCATTTTTCCCCCGTTTTTCCCCATTTTTCACCGTTTTTCCTCACTTTTCACCTTTTTCCCCCATTTTTTCACCGTTTTTCCCCATTTTTTCCCCATTTTCGCCCCGTTCCGGGTCACTTCTTCCTGCTCTCCCTGCAGGCCACCACGTACCCTTCTTATCCCCATTTTTTCCCTGTTTTTCCACTTTTCCCTGTTTTTCCCCATTTTTTCTGCGTTTTTTTTCCTAATTTTTCACCTTTTTTCCCCATTTTTTTCTCTATTTCCCCCATTTCCACCCCGTTTTTGCCCATTTTCGCCCTTTTTTGCCCCATTTTGGGTCACTTCTTCCTGCTCTCCCTGCAGCCCACCACGTACCCTTCTTTTTCCCATCTTTTTTCCCCATTTTCCCTCATTTTTTCACCGTTTTTCCCCATTTTTCACAGTTTTTCCCGTTTTTTTCTATTTTCCCCATTTCCACCCTATTTCCCCACCCATTTTTGCCCCATTTCAGGTCCTTCCTGCTCTCCCTGCAGGCCACCACGTACCCTTCTTTTCCCTATTTTCCTCATTTTTACACCATTTTTCCCCTGTTTTTCCCCATTTTTCCTCATTTTTTCACCGTTTTCCCCCATTTTCACCCCGTTCCGGGTCACTTCTTCCTGCTCTCCCTGCAGGCCACCACGTACCCTTCTTTTCCCTATTTTCCTCATTTTTACACCATTTTTCCCCTGTTTTTCCCCCATTTTTTCACCGTTTTTCCTCACTTTTCACCTTTTTCCCCCATTTTTCCCCCGTTTTTCCTCATTTTTTCACCATTTTCCCCCATTTCCACCCCATTTTCGCCCCGTTCCGGGTCACTTCTTCCTGCTCTCCCTGCAGGCCACCACGTACCCTTCTTTTCCCTATTTTCCTCATTTTTACACCATTTTTCCCCTGTTTTTTCCCCATTTTTTCACCGTTTTTCCTCACTTTTCACCTTTTTTCCCAATTTTTTCACCGTTTTCCCCCATTTTTCCCCCATTTCCACCCCATTTTCGCCCCATTCCGGGTCACTTCTTCCTGCTCTCCCTGCAGGCCACCACGTAGCGCTGCGCCACGTTGAGGGGGGGCGAGTACCCGTCGGCGTACGAGGTGTCCTCAAACAGCACCGAGTAATCGTCCTGCGGCTGGGGGAGGGCAAGGAAAGGAAAACGTCACTTCCGGGTCACTTCCCGGAAGTCCCAGCTCACTTCCGGCTCGAATTAACCTGCTTCCGGGTCACTTCCCGGAAGTAACGCCCTATTTCCGGTCCCTTCTGCAAGTCCCAGCCCACTTCCGGGTCACTTCCCGGAAGTCTTGCCCCATTTCCGGTCCCTTCTGCAAGTCCTAGCTCACTTCGGGGTCACTTCCCGGAAGTAACGCCCCATTTTCGGCCCCTTTTGCAAGTCCTAGCCCACTTCCGGGTCACTTCCCGGAAGAATTAACTCGCTTCCGGGTCACTTCCCAGAAGTAAAGTCCAATTTCCGATCCCTTTTGCACGTCCTAGCCCACTTCCGGGTCGCTTCCCGGAAAGCCAATTTCCGATCCCTTCTGCAAGTCCCAGCCCACTTCCGGGTCACTTCCCGGAAGTCCCATCCCATTTTTGGGTCACTTCCTGAAGGCACATTTCCGGGTTACTTCCGGGAAGCGCCAGGCCATTTCCGGGTAAGTTCCGGGTCACTTCCCGGAAGTCCCCGCCCATTCCCGGAAGTGCCACCCCTTTTCCGGGTCACAGCCCATGACCAGTCACTTCTGGGTCACTTCCCCAGCCCCATTGATCCCCATTGATTCCCATTCAAACCCAGCCCCATTGATCCCCATTGCTCCCCAGTCAATCCCATTCACTTCCATTGCTCCCCATTGATCCCCATTCAATCCCATTGACCCCCACTGCTCCCCATTGCCCCCGAGGGGTGACCCATACGCTGGGGGGGGTGTGGATGAGCACCCTATAGAAGCACGTGGTCTGGGGGAATCCCCCCCATCCCCATCCCCATTGCTCCCCATTGACCCCCATTCAATCCCATTGACCCCCATTGAACCCCACTCAATCCCATTGACCCCCATTGCTCCCCATTGCTCCCCATTGATCCCCACTCAATCCCATGGACCCCCATTGCTCCCCACTCAATCCCATTGACTTCCATTGATCTCCATCCATCCCCATTGACTTCCATTGATCCCCACTCAATCCCATTGACTTCCATTGATCCCCATTGCTTCCCATTGACTTCCATTGCTCCCCATTGCTTCCCATTGACCCCCATTGATCCCCACTCAATCCCATTGACCCCCATTACTCCCCATTCAATCCCATTGACTTCCATTGCTCCCCATTGAACCCCACTCAATCCCATTGATCCCCATTCACCCCCATTGCTCCCCACTCAATCCCATTGACTTCCATTGCTCCCCATTGATCCCCATTCAATCCCATTGATCCCCATTGACCCCCATTGCACCCCACTCAATCCCATTGACTTCCATTGCTCCCCATTGAACCCCACTCAATCCCATTGACTTCCATTGCTCCCCATTGAACCCCACTCAATCCCATTGACTTCCATTGCTCCCCATTGATCCCCGTTCAATCCCATTGACTTCCATTGCTCCCCATTGACCCCCATTGATCCCCATTCAATCCCATTGATCCCCATTGACCCCCATTGCTCCCCACTCAATCCCATTGACTTCCATTGCTCCCCACTCAATCCCATTGATCCCCATTGACCCCCACTGCTCCCCATTGCCCCCGAGGGGTGACCCACACGCTGGGGGGGGGTGTGGATGAGCGCCCTATAGAAGCACGTGGTCTGGGGGTACAGGGCCAGCACGAGCTGCTCCCGTTGGAACAGAGCCTCCGGGTCCGTCTCCGGGTTCGTCTTCCACTGCGGCAGCGGGATGATGCGGCGCCGGCTCAGCGTGTGCCGTCTATGGGGGGATAGAGGGCTGTGGGGCGGCTATGGGGTGTCTATGGGGTGTTTATGGGTGTCTATGGGGCGCTATGGGGTGTTTATGGGGGTCTATGAGGTGTTTATGGGTGTCCATGGGGTGTCTATGGGGCGCTATGGGGCTCTATGGGTGTCTATGGGGGTCTATGGGGTGTCTATGGGGCACTATGGGGTGTCTATGGGGGTCTACGGGGATCTATGTGCGCTCTATGGGGTGTCTATGGGGGTCTATGGGGCACTATGGGGTGTCTATGTGGGTCTAAGGGGGGTCTATGGGGTGTCTATGGGGCTCTATGGGGTGTCTATGGGGCTCTATGGGGTGTCTATGGGGCTCTATG